TTGCATTTCTTACAAGATTGTGTAATACCAAAGTCTGAAAGAAGAACTCGATTGATGAGGAAAAATTTCATTCGCCTGCTGTTTTTTTATTCCCTCACGAATTCTTTATGAGACACATAACACATGAAAGCAGCCCGCATAGACCGCGGTTGCTACGCGGGCGTTCGCATTTGATACAATAATGGCGCTTGGTCGCCCGCGTTCAGTGTTTTCATATTTGCAGGTCAGTGGTGTGGCAATTTGGGAACGTTGTCTTCCGTTTTAAAGCAGTGCATTTAAACATACCGGCGAAGCGCCCCCGCGCAAGTGCGTCCGTGGCTAACTGGGTATTTGCCGTCGAAATTCGGAAGATATTTCGATTGACCTGAAGTTATCTTGGCAGGTCATTCCGTAACCTGAACTTCAGGTAGTAGTGCGGTCGTGTGTTGACAGGTCTTCAGCGGTGGTTCAACTTTTCGTTCCTATTTGCGCTTGACGGACCAAGCGGTAGATACGCTGGACCAGCATGTAGCCAGATCGGAGCACGACGAGTTTTTTTTAAAGCGCACCTATGAGCATGCTATATATGGGAGTTGTTGTAGCATGTCTATATGCAGGCGCATGCTGCATCCGCCGTCTGTGTCCGATCGCGCCGCCGATCATTTTTACTCTGTCTTAACACCGGACCTAGACAATAAAGGACAGCTAGAATGCGGTAGATGCTACACAGGTCTGCTATCAGTTAAAAACGAATTCACGCCTAATTACCGGTGCCTGTGTCTGCCCCCGTTGTAAGGCACACACAATGGACGCTTTACGAAATTGCGGTCTGTCGCTTAAGCTTTTGCCTTGGTCTCTTGCCGTCGGTTGATTTCGGATTTTATTTTTGTTTCTAGGCGCGTTTCAGGGAATTCACTGACTGCTCCTGTTACAGAACTTTCTATGATGTGGAAAATTTATTCAACACACCAATGTGTTAGCAAGTGCACCAAGATTTGCTTTTATTTGTTACTTTCAGACTTTTAACTTTTCTGACGTTGGCATGAACTTTCCGTGCTTAATTCCACGCTGCCTCCTCGTTTGCACTATAGTCATGTAGCGTAAATGTTGGCATCAATGGCACAGTCAGGTGTACTTTTACGGGTCTGTCCTTTTTCTCTGGCCTTTAGAAACGAAAGCGGTTGGCAGAATTATCTGCCATGTAGCAACTGATTGTTGTTTCAGAAATCGCGAGGCAATTAGATGCAAGTTCTTCCAAACGTTTTGGCAGGGGACACTAGTTCAAACCAGTGAACGTCTTGGGGATTTGCCCCTTCCCCAATTAAGTATACCCTATTTTAAAATGTTCCAATTCTTGGACAAGTCGTCTGGGTTACTTCGTCAATGCTTTGTGTGTCCGAAGTAGTCTGGGTTTTCTGCGAACTATAACTACATTGGCTGAGACGGACTGGGGGGTGAAAGAACCTTGCACCGCCAAGCGAGTGTTAATCGATTCCTATCATGGTACCTGCCCACACGCCTCTCAGCTGCTGCGTGGTCGGCTTGGCAGAAAGCTCGACGCGAAGTTAGGTGATTTACGGTTCTGCCTCGTCTGGTGACACAGGTTTTCTATCTCCAACTATCTCCCATATTTGTTTTATCAGTTGAGCTAAGTATATTGATGCTTACTTGTTAAGCTAGCCAGATTTTCTGCCGCTGCACTCACTAGGTTTGCATGACTCAGGCGACCAATATTCGTTTGATTGCTTTGTTACAAACAGCTAGTAGAAAGTGTACATCGCCTGTATCGGCAATCTGTGTTGTATCTTCAGTGAGCTTAGCACATGCTTTGTGACTTTTAATCCCCATTTTTTTCGCAAAGAGATTGTGTTGCTGTATGTGAACCCGTTATTTCTTATCGTCACCCTTAGGCCGCGAACGCTTTTCTCGCCCAGCGAATCAGCAGCATAAACGCTGTTTCGGCTATTTGTGAAGCCACCGGCGCCGATGTTCGTGAGGTCTCTCAAGCCATTAGTCTCGACTCCAGAATTGGTCCCTACTTCCTCAAAGCCAGTCTTGGTTTCGGTGGAAGTTGTTTCAAAAAGGATATTCTCAATTTGGTAAGCTTTGTTAGCTGTTCTTCCTGCTACAGTAGTTAGACGACTGCATGACGTTTCTTCCTGTGATTATCTCATCTGATCTATACACTCCTTTTTATTCTCTCTTAACAGACCTACATTTGCCAAACCCTTAATCTTACTGAGGTAGCAGCCTACTGGAATTCTGTGTTAGAAATGAATGAGCACCAGATGAACCGCTTTGGCGGATGCATTCTTGACTCCCTTTTCAACAACCTGCGTGGCAAGCGAATAGCAATCTTTGGCTTTGCCTTCAAAAAGGACACTGGTGATACCCGGTGAGTTTTTCTTCGACTGTTTCCTCTTCACCATGCGCCCTCCCGTTGGTGCCAATAGGTCCCTTCAGTGTAACTGAGTGCGTCCTTTTGAAACTGCCGTAACTGTGCTCTTCGGTAGCGGTTGACCAACAATGCAAGCCGAGACCTGGGTGTAGGCAGTATTGTCGGCGAGGCCCCGTACGGTCACCGCAGGTTTGCCGATGCGGTTAGGTAGACGTAGGATGATTGATGAGATAAATTTCCGGCGATTGCTACCCATGAAGATGTAGTATAAGCGATATCGTCTTATAGTAAAAATTATTATATTTAATTTCAGTTTATAGGCATTGACAAAAAAAA